TCGGAGGACAGCGTTTGCTGCCAATGCTATGCACCAAAACTGGAATTAATCTAACAGCTGTTGAGTTCCACCATTCAGAACAAATGGGTTCAGCCATTTTAATTACTGGGCAAGTACTTTTCACCGCACATCCGGAGCAGCTTACACTTCCATTAGCGTCCACTTGGCTAAGCATGCCAGAGTCTCCACCTAATACAAATTACCCTTGGTGCGGTATTCCGAACAAGCTGCTACACTTTTCGACTTGAGCAATTGGGTTCGGCCATTTCCCATGAACTAATAATACGTCAACGCCATATGATTTTGCGTACTTCCTGAGACATTGTGCGGTTCTACAGATTACATACATAATATACCAATTGTTTAATTCATGACTTACCTTCCCAACCGTCCGTGCTATGCTGTCTGGAAGTTACAGGAACCATGGACGAAACAGTCCCTCGCCCGTCCTGCATTAGCCAGGGTAAATTATGCATATATCTTGACTGCGGCCAGCGGATCCAATAATCCGTCGATAAGAAGCATCGTCAGTTACAGCTTGTGGTTCGAAGGGATCAATGGCAGTGCTCTAGGACCTGGTGGGTTTGTCCCTAGCATGCGTTCACCATGTAATTATTCACAAAGGTCGTTTAACGAACACAGTAAAGTGGCGGATGTGACTCTTCACTGCACAAGTCACAGCTCATTACTTCAGACTGGCAAGCTGACTAGGACACCATAGCACGGTTCTCGACAAGCCCCAACCATTTTTTATCTGCAGGTTTCGTCGGAATGTCCCCTCCAGCTCCTTCATCGTTGATCTCTACGCTGTACTTAATTGAACTCAGGGTATCGTTTGACTCTGTTTTTCTTGTTCTTTAATAGTCCATTTTATTGATCGGCTCTATTTCTTAATATATTGGTGGCTGAAGTGCTACTGTTATTTATGGCAGACCGGCTCTGCCCATACGAACGTGCCCGGACCCAAGACCATGGGAATTCTGCATTATTACTTCTGACTTTTGTACCGTTCTAAGCATGAACGCCTGAACTATCTCCTATTGTCACTTCTACACTTGCCTTGAAGCGTCGGAACAATTGCATTAATTTGCTTATGCCTCATTGGTCATGACTCGCATGGCAGAGAATAACTATGCATTTACCTATTTATTTATAGAGCACTCTTCTTGGTTCTGAGCAGCAGGTAGACCTGTTGGCTTTCACTCTGACTTGGTTGCTTCTAGTAAGGTTAGATGCAGAAATTAGCATGTCAGGATATAAACTTTATCGAGCTGACCTTACCGGTGGGCTAGCTGGAGGTAGGGTCCTACTCTACTCGAAGGCTTGCCTCAAGGTGCACGTCAATGGGATTTGCTTCACTGGTGATGTGTTTCAGCGGTGTTGTGGTTTAGGATCATCTATAGCTACCAGCCGCTCATGGATGGTGTGGCATACAGTGAGCTATTGGAACTAGTCCCCTGACTACAATAGGTAAAACTAACGCTTGTGGTAGAAACTCCCATTTCTTGGGTGATTTCAAGGCACCCAGCCTCGACTTGGACATTCTTTATTATGCTCACTGCAAGGATTCATTCTTAACAGGCCTTCTTGGAATTAGTGATGCTTACTAACTGTTTCAGCAAGGCAAAGCACCGACACCCATGCTCCCTTGTCAAGCGCCCCCCATTGTTCATCAAGTGCTCGCCCCTGCGCCCTTTAAATATCAATAGCCAGGAGATCATCCATCCAATTGCCTTAGCGTCCGCTGCACATTTTCTTTTGGTAAACAAGCGGTCACGTTATAGAGGACCGAGGTGCACGTCGTCGTATTTGCTGGCGTGTTTTTCTATCTCGACTGCAAGAAGTGGCAAGTACTACAGCATGGAGGGTACCTAACTCTCTGAAGCTCGAGGTTGTCTGGAACCTACTCCGTTCGAAGGCGATATCAGTCATCTAGAAAGCCGTCCTCAGCTTCAAAGGTGCGCCTTTCCGCAATGGTCCTACTTAGATTGAGAGCAAGCTAAGAGCCCTGAAGTACAGACGTATAAACGTGTGGACACAATTCAAGCCTACACAAGACACATCATCTTCTGAAGTACAAAGCTGTCAGACACCAGTGTGCGAGGATGAAAAGAAAGAAACGTGGTCAATACCAACGTAGCCCGCTTGCACAATCGCAAAGCTGCCCGAAAAATCTCTTCTCGTATTTCAGGCGCAATCCTAAGGCAGGTAGGGGCTTTCCTGCTCTAGCTTGTCACGATCTCAACTACGTTCTTTATCGCAATGTTTAAAAATCTCGCCTTCCAGTCAACCAATACCCACAGTCTACACAGAGGTGTACTCACTACCTAGTACTGAGCTGACACTGCACTGACCGTTACTGGAGCAAGTTGAAATCACTCCCGATTAAGTATTTAGACTACTACTCTCATTGGACCTTAATTCAGCCTTAGCTCCAAAGAACTTTATCTTAATATTTATCAAGATGGCGTCTGAATACAAAGCCGGGCCAATGTGCCGAGTGTTTTGTCGCACGCTCGCAAATAGCCGCTTACCATCCGACTGGAGAGTAGGCACAGTAATGCCGAGTTATATACCTGGTAACCGACGCAATCCTGGAAACCACCGGCCGATATGTTTGACGTCTGGCGCTTGTAAGCCCTTGGAAATAATTCTGAACCTGCCTTACACGTGCACTGCAGAAACACTCGCGTTATCGCCTGCTGAGCATGGATTCTGGGGAGCACGTTCCTGCATAACTAATTTCCTTGTCGCCAGGAAGGCCTGCCCTAGTGCAATGGAACATAGGCGACAACTAAATGCGCTCTAAATCGACTTCAACAAGGCGTTCAATAAAAAGCCACAGAAACCAACTCCGCTTTAACTCCAAGAGATTAAGCTCTGTAAATATGTTCTTTCGTGGTTAAAAGGCTTTAACCTAGCTTGGAACATTCATGTGAAAGTGCACCGGGCCCTTTCTTTCCCTGTACTTTTGAATAGCGGCGTTCACCATGGCACCATCTTCGGGCATGAAGTTTTCAAATTCTACGGCAACGACTACCTAATCTATTCATATTACTTCAAACTAAAAACAGAAGTATTCGGCCTGCAAGCATCACTAAACTTGCTCTATGATTAGTCCGTCAAGTTGAAGCCCTGATAAACGTGACAACCGTGCCTTCCACTTTATTGGATACCTTGTTCAGTTCGGTGTACAAAATATCAGTGGCTTTCTTCTCAGGCGTGTCATCTACGAGGACCTAGTAGGCATCGTACTACAGGAACTTAGATCCTCAGCCGGCGCAAAAGAAGGTCGCGGCTACTAACAGGATGTTGCGGGTCCTTGAAAATCGGTCACTCGAGGCTCGCCGGCGAGCTTTAGAATACTATTTATTTCTTATCTTATTTCATTGGCGGAGCATGGTCTCCTGGCTTTCTATCCCTTCGCCAAAATGAGTGAACCTTGTTAGAAAAGGTTCAGAGGCGTGGTCTGAAATGCGTCCCAGCTTTTACGACCCTGGCTACGCTCTAGGAATTCAGAAGCCTGACTTGCTCTCCCTGGCGTAACGCCACGGTCGATTGGATCTAACTTACACTAGACGATCCTAAGAGAAAAGCAAAAGACGGATCTACTTTGACTCTTTCGATTCAAAGTGGATCCCAGACAGCACCCTGCCAACATTTTTCTTAGTGAATCATTGAGAAATAGTAAAGGATCGTGCATCGTTAAAATTTGGATTGTGCGGCCCTTTACCGGGTTATGTTTGGTGCAGATGACTACACAAACGCTAAACAACAAATTATCGAAGTAAACTTATTTTCCATATTTAATGTAAAACACCACAACTAGCTGCGTGCATGTTTGCATTTTTACAGATATCATTTTGATTGGGACCATGTACCTCAATTACCATTATCTGTCTGCTGCACGTGGCTGTCGTTACGTAGTTCAGTCACCTTGCTATCGCAATAACGCAACCACACGGTAAGTGACAATGCAAGATTATTTCTATATCTCTGCATTATAAGTTTGCAGTGCGCCTTTGGTATTACAGTTATTCGTACTACACGCTTAGCAGGTGCCCGACCCGCACTTGGAGTTGGATAACCAAAGGAGGCCACATCACATTTACTAATTGATAACACCTCGAAACACGCACGCGCAGAGAAGCTCCCACCGAATTCAGACAACTTCGGCATTGACATATATGCTAACAAGGGCTGCTTGCAGAAGAGCAATGTCGAACGGCAGTTTCAGTCTCACATACACTTGCTGATGTGTCTGTTAATTGTACACGAACATTCTCACATGCGCAGGAACGTCAGACAAACCCAGATACGCGGAGAAGTTATCAAAACAACGCGATCGCCTTATGAGATTTTAGCAAACCCTGAGTAAGTATCTTATTTATTGCACCTATCTAATACATGTGCCTCGGGGATCCGAGAAAGCATGCTAAAGTTACAGGAGAAATCACGGCAGCGTAAAGGCCTTGGGGAAGTTATTTCGCAAGGCAAAGTTACCCGTATGGGCACTGCTGACACTACAACAGCTAAAGAACTGGAAGCAATTAGCTCCTGGCAAAAGAATTTGTTAAACGAAGTAGCATAGCATCAACATGTAAGCAGTTTGTTATAATATTCTTACTAGCCGCAATTCCGAAAATAACAATTCACTGCCCAACGGAAGGAAAAAGCTAAACGCCAATGACCTTGCCAAAATGACGCAGTAATCGCCGTCAACGAACACTGTACAACGACTGCGGACATTGGCTGTATTTATAGGCCTCTACCGAACTTCGACTTCTAGAATTGGAAGGTCAGCTGCCAAGATTAGTGGTTCCCTATATTTTTTGCCGAGGTGTCAGGTGGCTTTTAATCACGTGCAGAAGAAGAACATTCCGGTACGTTTGAAATCGAAGCAGTAATCGTTCATAATTGATTACTCTCTAAAATATGAAATCTCCAAAGCATTTCTTACTTTCTATACAGAGCAGCTACCAAAACGACGCGATTGCCTTATGAGGTTTCAGCATATCCTGAGTGAGTATCTTATTTCTTGCACCTATCTAATATATGTGCCTCGGGGATCCCAGAAAGCATGGTAACGTTACAGAAGAAATCACAGCAGCATAAAGGCCTTGGAAAAGTTATTTCGCAAGGCAACGTTACCCGTATGGGCGCCGCTGACACTACAAACACTGCAGCACTGGAAGAACCTTGCTCTTGGCAAAAGAAGTTGTTAAACGAAATAGCGGAGCATCAACTTGTAAGCTGTTCTTAGTTTTAACAAGTATTATTTCAGCTTAATTACCTTGACAAGACGTACGGCTTACCTATCAGAAGTAACGCGCCATATTAATGTGTGTTTTCCACAGACACGGCGCATAGCGTCAAATTTTCCCGTGCGGGACAAGCCCTCGCAGTTTGTCGAACAGACATTTATTCACTTATGCATCGTAAGCTTCCATAGAACGTCTTTTACTGTACTTAGGTTCCTTGCTACAGCAAGATGGCCATAGTGAAAGCTTGTACACGGAGAACTCAACGGCGGTCAAGGATTGCCCTCAAAGTTTGAAGCACGGTTACTACAGCAAACAAACGCTGTCCACCTGCAATCAAGGCGACAAAATGTTCCCTTCTGTTTGGACATCAACACCTACAATGTTAGGGATAAAGCTACTTGACCTTACTTTATTCCAAGAAGACTACACGGTGGTTTATTTTTACATGTAGCTAATTACTTATCAGTTCTTGAAAGCATTTTAGTTAAACTTGTCTTCTTAATACTGCATTGGGCTGTTCCTTTGCCTTCGACTAGGATCTTTGCGATTGACCTGGCGTAGCACTGTCATAAAGACGTTATAGGTGGACCGCAAGCTAGACGTACGCACGTGATTGGCTAACTAACGCAGCTGGCTTTGATGCAATTCTTAACATCCATGTGGCCAAAAACAATATTGCACTACATAGGCACTAGCCGGGCCATGGTCACCTACTCTCAACGATTTCTTTATGGATTCCTATTGAGTAAAAATTGGAAAAAGCGGAAATCTTTAGTTACTGTTGTTAGTAAGAATACCTCAACACAGGCTCACTAGTAGAAGTTTTACAAAAAAAGGATAAATTTCGTCCAGTCTGATGCTGCCTGTCTACCTGGGTGGTGAACGGTTAGAACAGCTTATCGGAGTACTTAATTGTTACACAGACTAAGGCTGTTCTCAGTTTTGGCAAGGTTGCCACTGGAAGAGTACCGCGGATTTCCGCTTCCCCTACTGCAACCGCCCGCAGAGGCGCATCGACCCACAAACACTAAAAATAACATCGCCATGAAGTGCAATTAACTGAACGGACGAACTTCTTCCTTCCTGCTCTCTGCACACCAATGAATAATTGAACCACTCAAATACGCGGATTGTACAACTTCCTAAATTTCAATTGATATAGCACAGCTATTTGGTTTCTTGTTTTCCTTTAACACGTAAATTCGTCTCAACCAACTTATGGTTCATTCTGCAAGTACACTGGTCCGTAGCTCATACGAGCCGGACAGTTTTCCATAATCCTGCCTAGGGCTCGGTTTAGCATCCGTTCCAACCTATTCTACATATCTATGCCATCAAAATGAATCAGCGGCCGACGAACCTTCGGACAGCGAAGGCCAAACTGGGGTTATGAATTGCTTTAAACAGCTATCTAAGCACCACATTAATATCTAAATTCCTAGAAATAGGCGTGGTTAAAACGAGCTGCGGGAATGGGCTTAATGGCTACTAAAATAACCCACAAGTCGGCCTCGACGGTGCTTGCCACCAAATTATTGGATATCCAGTCCCACCTACAGCTTTGCCTTACTCCAGACGATTTGGTTGTTTTCTTCTACTGAACCAAGCCCTAAGAAATCATTGAGTGAAACAGCGCACCTGCATCTACTGCATCCATCCTCATTTACGAGCTTTTTCATGGATAGTACTTGCGCATTTTTGGATTGCCGCAGGCATATTGCTCAAGCATTCTCCTACACCTCGTGTTTCAGCTCTCATTGCACAACCACTACCAACACTTTATTACCTAGAGCGACGCCGCGCCTGTAACGAGCAGCTGCAGGTGTCTACATAGCTTCAGCTAGAGCAGATACTGTAACTCTACTTCCGCTACAGCTCTAATTCGTATTCCACGACCTTACTGCCCTTGCTGTAACTTTGAAGGCTTGTACGTTAATGCCGGCATAACCGCTCCTTAGCTCCTTCTTTCTAGATGTCATGTTATCCACTACTAGATTCAACCTCTTCGACTACTCCCGTTACAGGGGTCCAACTCCGCGCCTGGGTTTTCTTTGCTCAGTCAATATTTAACTAACCTGTTAGTGCCACAGCAGGCTATTTCGTCTCCCTTATTCTCGATGGGTTGTTGGCTCCCTGTGGTATTGTAGGTATATACTAGTCGTAAGCAAAGGGCTACACCTACTCCTTGCTTCGCACTATCCGAGTTCCATTATCTCTGCTTAGCAGCAGCGTGTTTTCATAAATTCCATGCATTACACACATCAGTAACTTGCTAGGTGTCACACGTTATCTCCAACCGTATGCATTTAGACTGTTAGCATTACAATACAGCCCGTTTGGTGACTTATTCTGTGACACC